GCAAGAGGAGGAAAGTACACACCCCCACCCCCACCATACAGCGCAGAAAATGCCAGCAGGCATTGAAACAGACTCTGCAATAGTGGGGCACCACTCGTATACTGCCCAAAACTTACAAGTACTCGCTTCAGAAACAGGTCCACAGCTGCCATTGCCCATGCTAGTTGCAAAAAATTAAAGCAAATATGTAGTTTGGCATCTGTTACATGATGAGCTATCAAACCCGTCACGCACCACCACCAAAAGAGCATGGCGAGTCACCTACAGTGACACATGAATTTCTCCCTGACCTCCCCAGCTCCCCAAACCCAACCAGCATGAACCCAGGCATTGTCTGGCAGTGGCAAGAGACTTATGTGGTCCAGCAAGTTCTTGGGTCTCGACAGCAGCAGATGATGTATTGGCTGCATGGGTTTCTTCCTGACCCTCCATCTCCTTCACTTCATCATCTGTGCTGGTCCGTGGAACAGAGGGGCAAACTGGCATTAAGTGTATGGTGACCTATGGTTCTTCCTGCCAGTCATGATCAGGGAGCAGGGAGCGGTTTGCATACAGCTAAGACTTGCTCATGGTTTCCCTCATGAAGCCCTCAGGCGGGGCTGCTGCTGGCACCTCCTCCTCCTCCTGCCCAATCCTGGTGCTGAAAGTCTCCATACCCGGATTGTCTCCCACATCTTTGGAGAGAACGATGGACAGTTTGTCATAGAAGGGAGCAATTGTGTGACCTGCCTCAGAATGAGAGCTCACATCTTTGGCTCGGTAAAATGCAGATCTCAGGGACTTGATCTTGCACTGGACCTGGGTCCAGTCATGATTGTGCCCTCGTGCCTGCATGCCTTTTGTGATCTTGACATAAACAGGCTTATTCCTCCTACTTTCCAGCCTGTCTTTGATCTTTTGCCCCAACCAAATGTTGATTAAATCCTCCAGTTCTTCCCAGGTCCAACTGGGTCCATGGGCATTGGGGGTATCAACCTCTGTCGGTTACATACTGCTGGCCTTGGCTTTCTGAGACATGGCAAAGCAGTTCATGGTCAACAGCACAAACGACTTGTGAGAGGGAGCTGGCAAAATTGGGGGGGGGGGGGGACACCTCTATACTCAGGCTGTGCTTGCATGATAGTCTTGAAAAATTCTTAGGATTGTGAAGTCATTACCTGTAAGTGTCAAAATACTGAAAGGTGATAAAGCACCCGGTTTACCAACAAAGACCTGGTGATGGGGTTGAGCATGGGGTGAATAAGGTCATTGTCCTTTGGGATGGCTGCTCAATGGTCCGGAATGTTGCAAAAATTGATACCTACCTGCCTGCTTGTGCAAAATAATTTTATTACAGAAGCACAGCCTGTTTTCCTTAAAGTGGCAAAAGTTTTGAGTAGCCTACATTACCAGGAGAGGAGTAGGCAAAACATTTTTATTTGCAAGCTTGATTACATCAGAACACCATTGGCTGCTAATCTCAAGATGAAACGGATGTGCAAAAGCCCCAATACCCCAGTGTAACTTGTTGAAAAAGCAGCAACACCAAGCTCCAGACCACACAACACCCTAAAGTCCCTGCCTCCAGCTTAGTGCAGATGGGTGAGAAGCTGCTGCTGACAGAGAGGGGCAAAATGGAGAATGAGGACAAAATGCATGATGATGGAGAACAATGCAGTGAAGAGTACACAACGCAGTGGTGAGCAGGAGGAGGAGGAGGAAGAACTGCTTCTGTAAATTCTGTTTACTTGGGGATTACCTCTGCACCACTTGAGAAGGATAAAAATGATGATATAGTATTCAGTGGCAAGGTGTATCTCTGCTTTAACAGCAATGAGAATAATAAGAAAATACAGGTACCCAGAGGACTTGGAATACCCAGAGGAAAGCAAAGAAGTGGAAGATGACTGGGCTCTGTTGAGAAACCTGAGGAGGACCAGCATCTGCATGGTGTGGGCCCATGAGAGCTGCTTGGACTGGTGGGAGCAAATCGTGCTGATGACTTGGAATGACCAGCAGCGGCTGGAGATGTCCTGAATGAAAAGGGAGATGTTCTATTATATTGTCTCGATGCTGGGGCCCCACACCGTGACGCAGGACACTAACGTGCATTGGGTCATTCCACCAGACAAGAGGGTTGCAATGGCCATCATGAAACTGGCCAGCCTATCCAGCATCTGCTACATTGTGAACCAGTTCAGCATGGCTGCCTGGACGGCCGGGTTGGCAACTTGTGAGGTATGCCAGCTGCTACAGGAAGTTGCTTAAAAACCAAATTATCTGCCTGGTGAATCTGCAGCAAGTCATAGATGGCTTCAATGAGAAGGGGTTCCCAAACTGTGTGGGGGCTTTAGACAGCACTCACATTTCAGTGCTGCGCCCTGTTGGGAAGAGGAGGGCTTTCACAAACAGGAAAGGATATGCCTCTGTGATCCTGCAAATCGTGGTGGACCACCGGGGCTCATTCAAGAACATTTATACCAGGGTGCCGGCCCCCTCTGCTTGGCCTTGTAGAGAAAGGACTCTATGCACCCAGTGTGGAGGAGACCGTGATCTTCAGTGTCACCTTTCCCCTGGTTATATTAGCGGATGCTGCCTATCCCCTAAAGCCCTGGCTCATGAAACCTTACGGAAGGAATGTCACCAACCTGCAGAAGCTGGTTTTTAACTCCTGTCTGAGCAGTTGCAGGTTGGCTGTGGAATGTGCTTTTGGCCGACTGAAAGGACAATGGAGGGCGCTTACGTACCGGCTTGAGATGGAACCAGAAAATATCATGGCCTTTGTAGTGGCAGCCTGTGCGCTGCACAATATCTGTGATAGCTGCACAGAGGCTTGCAAGGAGTTTGCAAGGTTTGGGCTCCACAATTCAAAAAGGATGTGGAGAAGCTTGAGAGAGTCCAGAGGAGAGCCACATGCATGATCAGAGGTCAGGAAAACAGACCTTATGATGAGAGGCTGAGAGCTATGAGACTCTTCATCCTGGAAAAGCACAGGCTCAGGGGTGATCTGGTGGCCGCCTATAAGTTCATCAGGGGTGCTCACCAGGGTCTGGGAGAACATCTGCTCACCAGAGCACCCCAAGGGATGACAAGATCGAATGGTCACAAATTCCTCCATGGCTGTTTCAGGCTGGACATAAGGAAGAATTTCTTTACTATCCAAGCACCCAAGGTTTGGAATAGACTGCCACCGGAGGTGGTTCAGGCACCTACTTTGAACACCTTCAAGACATATTTGGATGTTTATCTTGCTGGGAGCCTATGATCCCTGCTGACTTCCTGCCCCTGGGGCGGGGGGCTGGACTCAATGATCTTCCGAGGTCCTTTCCAGCCCTGATGTCTA